ACTGGGTGGCTCCTAGGGCTCTAGAGAGAAGCCCAGATGCAGGGAATTGGGCCTGCAGGCCCCACGGTGGAGTGTCTGCTCCAGGGAGGCAAATCTCAAAAATGGGCCAACCAGATGCCTTGCACAAGTTATGGGATTACCTTCACCTGAGCTCACAGTAAAAGCATTTACATAAAAAGTGGCAGTGTTGGGGTAAATTTGGTTACACACAGACAACTGCTTAGAGTCAAACAACATACCAACATTGTTACAAACTGGATAGATTCTGTCCCCATCCTTGCTGTTGAGAGGAGCTGGCTTTCCAGGATGATACAGTTCCGTTTGTTCCTATATTCCCTTGAGTTGGAGCTTAAGTCTGTCCACTTTTTCCTTAGCTTCTAGTTCCTGCAGTTGAATATCTGCCATTCTTTGTTCATGGTCAAACCACAGGCGTTCTCTTTCAGCAGCTTCTCCTTCCATATCAGCTATGTTTTGCTTTTGTTCAAGTGCTAGCTGCTGGTTTCTCACTACAAGCATTTTCGCTGGGTCTGCTTCCTTAGCACTGGTCATTAACAGATTTTTTCAGTTCCTGCTCTGGGGCCTTTTTCTTAAGACAACACCCTCTAGGCTTTTTCTGTCAGGAACTTGATCATGGGTCTCTTACTGTAACTGATTTTTAACCCTTAAACTCTCCAATATCAAAATTAATTTTTTTGACAAGCGTGTGATTCTCATCCAAAAACCCCAATTAACCTGTGGTAATGTGTATCCCAGCATGACTACGCCACTGTGACCGGGGTCCCAGTGGGGAGCCAGCTATGGTCACTCAATTAGGGTGAAATCCAAACAACACAGTTCCCTTAAAGTGATCCAGCCTCAGGCCTCCATCCAGGTACCCGCGTCAAATATGATGACAATTTTTGTAAATCTTATTTCATCCTATAAAAGAAAAGGTTCTACCAATCCCAAAGGATCGGACACATTACCTCCCAGGTTAATGAATGTTTCAGATCTTACCCAAATACACGCTACAGCCAATTCTTATTCACTAAACTAAAATTCATTAAAAAATGAGACAATATGGTTAAAAATCAATGTACATACAGACATGACTTCAATCCATTGAGGTTCAGATTCATAGCAGAGATAGTGAGTTTTGTAGTTGCAGAGAGTTCCTTTAGAATTCAGTTCATAGGTCCCAGTCCAATGTCCAAATTTGATATTCAGAACATCCCAGCATAACTGGGACCTCAGTCGTGTGACTCAAACTTCCCCTGATGAAGCCTAAGAAGATCTGATAGAATCAGGACCCAAGGATCTTTTATACAATTTCATGTCCTCTTTGACAAGTTGGGAGTTCCTCAGGGAACAAAAGGTCATTAGGATGAATTTGAAGGAGGTCTATCACTGGCACTTAGTTATACGAATTAACATAAGGCCATTTGCTTGTTCCTCCACCATTCACAGATTATTTACTATACATTTGAAAAAGTGATGAATACTGAGATATCCCATATTTACAATTAATTTAAATGCTAAGATGTTCTTTTGACCTCTGAATGATCAGAATACAGCATAGACTGGGACTGTTGATTTCATTGTTGGCCCTACACATACATATGTAAATACACAAAAATACAAACATGATCTCCACACATGTCTTCTGTGGGTTATTTATTTTGCAGGATGTTTAACCCTTTCTAGCCATGCGTCACAGATGGTGTCAACAAAACAGTGTGAGTAGCTGGCGGCACTGGGGATCGACTGGACTGCAGAACAATGCGGAGAGGGAACCAAGAGGCCAAAAACAGACGACTGCAAAGTCAAGGATTTTAACTGCACCTCAGGGGACGCCCCATCTCCCTGCTTCTCTTACGAGGAATTTGACCAGGTTGTGGGAGCCGCAGCGAGTGCAGAGCTCACAGCGCTGCATGAGGATCTGCTGAGTGGGGATTGGCACTCCCCACAGCAGGAGGAGACCCAGCTGCTGGATGAAGGGCAAGAGGTGACCCTGGGGGTGAGGCCGGTAACTGAAAGAGGTGATGCTGCCAGAGCAGCTACAGCACCTCCTGGGTCCGCACTCAGAGGGGCTGTTTGGGGACGGCCTTGGGGAGCAGCGCACTGCAGAACCAGCCTCACAGCAAGCGCCGGAACTGGAGCCGGAGCCTGGGAAGTTTCTGCCGCTGTGTCTGCTGAGGGCCAGTGGAGCGGCGGCAGGGAGTTGCTGCTGGCCTGGCTGAGAGGAACGGTTAACGGACCAAGGGCAGTGAGGGCTGCACTGGAGGCTGGAGGGGTGGGTGGGTGTTCCCACTGGGCAGAGCGGGGTTCCCCTCCAGCTGGAGGGGCCGGGGTGGCTGTCCAGGCTGAAGGACAGGAGAGGCTGGGTGTGGTGGAAGATACCAGAGCAGGATGTGTGCTCTGTCACTAGACGAGACGGTGCGGGATTTTAAGGACTGTGTGCACTGGGGGTGATCAATGGACCATGTGTTGGGGTGTTTGTTACAGGTCAATGCCTGATGTCTGTGCTATAAACTGGTCTCAAGAAGGGGCGGTACTGAGGCCAAGGAGCCTGTCATGGAGACCTTAGGGCAGTGGGCCCCAAACTGTACAGGAACATTGGGGGTGGGGGCATGGTGGGCCCAAGGCCAGGCCCCATGGGGGTCAGGGAGGGAGCGCGCCTCACTCGCAGCCCCAGTGGTGGGTCCACTCTTAGCCTCATCCCCCAGCCGCAGCCCCGGCATCATCCCCCAACTCCTGCCCCCAACTCCCAGCCCTGCTCCTGGCCTCAGCTCTGGCCACAGCCATGGCTCCACTCCCAGCCGCAGCTCCGACCCCAGCCTCAGCTCTCAGCCCCGATTGCAGCTCCGCTCTCCGCTCCCAGCTGCGGCTCCCAACCACAGTTCCCAGAGAGGGTGCAGACACGTTCCATTACGGGTAAGGGGGGGTGTGACAGAAAAAGTTTGGGGACCCGCCTCAGGGAGCTGGCAGGGGAAGTGGGATGGGAACGCTGGAGTTAGCTGCAAAAGGGGGCTGGGCAAGGTGGAATCGGTCACAATGGGGCTACTCAGCACGAGCAGGGGTGGCAGAATCTTTAACAGCTTTGCTGACACAGCGGCCAACATTTCCACTGATTTGTTCCCACAGACGTCAGTGGAGTTCTGCCAGCCGTGAATTCAGATCAGTCCATTGTTTTTAATCTATGGCCAGGTCTGTGCTAGAAAAGCTTTGCTACTCTAACTACACCGGCAAACCCTCCTAGAGGAGACACAGCTCATAGCAGGGGGGAAAGTGCTCTTGCTAGTACAGCTTCCACCAGCTCCTTCAGCAAAATAAGCTACACTGCCCACAGCACTTTCTGGCTGGTAGAGCATCTACACTGGGCCTTTTGCTGATACTGAACGTCTTCATAAAAATCACACCTCTCAGTGACAGTGCTGTACGGGCAGGAGTTTCTAGTGTAGACCTGGCATAACAAGTAAATGCTGTAAATTGATTTTCAATGATGATGCTCAGATCAAAATCCATAACACAGTCGTTACCTCTCTATGACCTTTAATTCCACAGAAAGATTTGTTACAATCTTTGTAACAAGATTTGTTCATCCCTCCTTCCCCCGAAACACTCGCTTCTCTGAAAGAGCCAAACCCCACAAACTCACCCAGCCACGGAGACAGGAGAAGCGCCCAAAGCAGAGAGAGCCTTTCCAGTTGGGTTCTCATGTTCCTTCAAGAACCTTTCCCTGGCAGCGCTGTCAGGGGCCCTAATTGAGGAGGTGTCAGATCTGCTGCTAAAACAGCCGGTGCTCTTAGTTCTTGCAGCTCATTGGCTGAGGTAACCCCAGAGCCGTTGCTGCACTCTCTCTCCCCGGCCCCTTTCTGCGCTGTCCCTTACGAACTCTCCTCTGCTCGATGGTATTTTTATCTGCTGATTCTTTGTTCCATGCGTGAGTTTCCTGCCAGTATCCCCTGCCAACTTCCTTATTCTGTCACACTGAATGTTCTCAGATCACACAGTGAATTTAAAAATATTGCTGTTGAATTAATTTTTAAAACTTCCTCTCTTCTCTATCAAACTCTACACTAACCCGGCCTTCTCCGAGTTTGAAAGTATCCGACCAGCAATGTCCATGGCCCAGAATCTCCCTCTGCAAGGTCTGAGACATTTCTATTCCAGTTGTATCCTCTCAGAGGGGGCGTGATCAGTGTGTCGTCGGAGTACACCATCCTCCCCGACTTTGTGCCCCCCTGACCGGGCGAAGGGAGGGGGCGGGTTTAGAAGAGTTCCCGTTGAGGGTGGGACCGTTGTAGAAAATGTACAGTTGTTTGTCCAATAGCTGTTTTCATTGTCCCTTCAGTTTCAGTGCTTCTCTTCTCCCCCCTGACTCCAATCTTACTACAAAGAGGAGCTGCACAGAACAGGGGTGGAGTTTGGGGCTTAGGTCCAGGGAGGGGAAGTGGACACTAGTTATCGAGAAAAAGTTAGTCCCAGCAGTCTTCTCTCCCTTGAAAGATGACAACATTCTCCTCTCCCTGTCCCTGGGGTCTGGCTTCTCCCCGCACTGAGCCATGCTGCGCAAGGTCGGAAATGAGGGTGCGTAAGGAAGCCGGTCTGGCAGCTGGATAAACACAGTGTGATGTCCCTTTGCTATGGAGAGCTGAGGGGCTTGTGGTGCTGCTCTGAATCGCCAGGGAACCAAATAAAGGGGCCGAGTCTCTTTCTTTCCCTGGACTTTTCCCTGTTGTTAGGCAGGCACAGAGGCAGGATTCTCTGGTGATGCCGGGGCAGGGTGGGGCAGAGGAGGGTCATAGTTCACATTTTCCTTTGCACGACAACTCCATGTGCTTGATGACAATATAGTCAATCTCCAGTCAAATTGCCTCCCAGGCCTGTAAGTACATTTCAACATATTTGTAGTGTAGCAGAAACTGAAGCTGGGTCTTGATGGTCAAGGGCAGAACATATCTGCTTAGTCCACCTTCACAGCCGATCAAACCCCTCCATTCAGTGACAGGTAGAGGGGTGACCATTTGCAGAAACATCTCTCTGGCATAGAGTGCCGGATCTCCTCCACAGGACTGGAAAGCCATGTCCCTGTTCCATGCTGGTACCTTGACAACCTCTATTTTCTCCAAATGTTGACCGGCCTTTAAAGAAGAAATTGTAAGCTGGTAGCGTTGCCCCTGGAATGTATTGCCACTCCCTGGGCTCCTGAGAGTCTATGAAAATTCTAAATGTTTAAAACCCTTAGTACATGTATCTTAGTATCAGTAGCCTCTGCTCCTTCCTCATGGGCTGCAAAAGCTGTCTGGGATCCAAGGATGGTCTAACAGTCACATTCCTGGAATGCTGAAAAGTATCAATATTGTGGCCTCCTTCAGCAAATTATGATAAGGGGGAAGATTTCTTGTTTTTTTCCACAGGGAAAAAAACATATAATGCTACCCTTGTCTTTGAAATGGCAGGACCTTCGGCTCCCGGGAGGGAAACCATTCTGCTAGAAGGGCCGGAGCGGCACCCAGAGACAGCAGAGGCAGACAGAGCAGGACTCTGTAGCACTCTGTGGTTATTGCCATGGACAGAAGGAATCAGGAGCAGTGATGGTGTCCCTTGAATAGATATGTTGACAGAGTTGGCACCGGGGTTGGTAGCAGGATTTGGTTCTTGGGTTGGTGTTTTTGTTGTGTGGTGTATAGTTGCTGGTGAGTATTTGCTTCAGGTTAGGGGGCTGTCTGTAGGTGAGGACTGGCCTGTCTCCCAAGTGTCTCCCAAAGTCTGTGAGAGTGAGGGATCGTCCTTCAGGATAGGTTGTACATCCTTGATGATGTACTGGAGAGGTTATAGTTGGGGGCTATTGGTGTCAGCTATTGGCATTCGGTTACTTTCTTTGTTGGGCCTGTCCTGTAGTAGGTGACTTCTTGGAACCCTTCTGGCTCTGACAATCTGTTTCTTCACTTCACCAGGTGGGTATTGTAGTTGTAAGAATGCTTGATAGAGATTCTGTAGGTGTTTGTCTCTGTCTGAGGGATCGGAGCAAATGCAGTTGTATCTTAGAGCTTGGCTGTAGACAATGGATCGTGTGTTGTGGTCTGGAGGAAAGCTGGAGGCATGTAGGTAAGTATAGCAGTCAGTAGGTTTCTGATATAGGGTGGTGTTTATGTGACCATTGCTTATTAGCACTCTAGTGTCTAGGAAGTGGATCTCTTGTGTAGACTGGTCCAGGCTGAGGTTGATGGTAGGGTGGAAATCGTTGAAATCTTGGTTGAATTCCTCAAGGGCCTCCTTCCCATGGGTCCAGATGATGAAGATGTCATCAATGTAGCACAAGTAGAGTAGGGGCGTAAGGGGATGAGAGCTGAGGAAGCGTTGTTCTAAGTCAGCCATAAAAATGTTGGCATACTGTGGGGCCATGCGGGTACCCATAGCAGTCCCGCTGACTTGAAGGTATAAATTGTCCCCAAATCTGAAATAGTTGTGGGTGAGGACAAAGTCACAAAGTTCAGCCAACAGATTTACCATGATGGTATCGGGGATGCTATTCCTGATGGCTTGTAGTCCATCTTTGTGAGGAATGTTAGCGTAGAGAGCTTCTACATCCATAGTGGCCAGGATGGTGTTTTCTGGAAGATCACCAATGGATTGTAGTTTCCTCAGGAAGTCAGTGGTGTCTCGAACATAGCTGGGAGTGCTGTTATAGGGAAGAGGGCATTCCCTAATGGAGAGACTGATAGAACGGGTGGCCAAACAAGTTTGAGGTCCATCTGCTAACTCGCTGCTCCTGACCGGGAGGGATCTGCAGGACTCCCAGGACCACACCCTCCACTGGCACCCAAAACCTTACACATTCCACTTAGTCCTTTTATTAAATGTTATCATTTCCTTGACCTGTGTGAGGTCCCTCCTTCCTAGCCATGATGAACATAAGATGTTTTCAGGCTCAGGATTGGGGCCCAGAATTCACAGCACAGGAATTGAAATGGTGTAACTAGTTTGACATGTGTCTTGTGAAAATTATTGTTTTCCTTACAGCCCCGGCTTCTGGAGTCAAGACGATCGGTGTTGAGTTCAGCCTTCATTCTTAAAGAAAAATAAGTTTCTGGCCCTCATGTGACCCCAGTGCACCCTAAAGACTCAAAAAGCAGAAGGGAAATAAAAACAACAGAAAATTTACTAACTTTTACATAATCACATTGTTTTAAAGCCAATCTCATGACTTTTGGTGAGCAGGACTCATGATTGTTGAATATTTGGGGTTGGCAATACTGTATCTTACTGCAAATGCTTTTCTGTCTGTCCCACACCCACTTCCCCTCCCCACATGGGTTAGGAAATATCCAAAGTCCCAAGGATGGGGAAAGTGCAGCTAGTGTGATGTGCTTACAG